GTCTACGTGTATATTTATATAATTATTTATGTAATTTTGTATATGGACGTATGTATATTTCTTATTATTTTATTTATTTTTATATACATAGATATATATACAAATTCATTCTAAGTGTATTTTGATATAAATATATATATATATTAATTTTAAAATACAGTTAGAATAAAATTTCATATAGCTATATAATTTTTTTAAAAAATTTTATTATTATTTAAAAATTTTTTTATTTAATTTAAATTACTTATTATTTATATTTTATAATAATATATATATACAATATATATAGTTATTATATATATTATATATATACGTGTGTAATTTAATTATAAATGTATTTTTATATTAATATAAGTACATATTAATATAAAAATACACTTAGTATGGCATTATATAGATGATATATAGACATATATTATATAGATATATTATATGTCTATATATCATATATACACATATATAATTATTATTATTTTTTTTATTACCATTAACTTTATTTTTTTTTTTTATTTTACACTAGCAGGGAGACTGCCTGTCAGCACAGACAGTCCCCCTGCAGGCAGCACTATGGACTGTGTTAAGCGATCACATGGCCACAGGGGTCCTAAATCAGTGTGGGGAGACTTTCTGGGCTGCAGGCAGTCTCCCCACAACCGGAGCAACACTGATCGCCGCCGGGGGAACGACGGCGATCAGGTAAGTACCCCCAGACCGTTAGGACGGTTCAGGACCGTCATCGGTCCTCAAGGCAAAAATGCCAATGACGGTCCTGAACCGTACTCGGTCGCTAAGGGGTTAAGAAACTAATTTGGGCATAATGGATTTTGAAACACTTTTTCTGCCCCTTTGAATACATGAGAAGGTGTGCCCCTCCCCAGTTTCCTGTCTATTGTTCACCAGCAGGGCGTTGTCCCAGGGACACTGCCTGACCAGTTGGAACTTGTTGCTAAACTTTAAACCCCATGGCGATTTGACTGTGTTTGTGGGATCTGAGATCCAAGCTATCTGGGGATAGGTTGAATGTGGGGGTTCTGTTCAATATAATGGGAATTATGTATTTTTAGGTATTTTACTGTTGTTGCAAATGGAGATTTGCCCTGTACTGGAGATAAGTAAGTTACCACACCTAATTTTTAAACCACTGGAGGGAATTGTATGATTTTTGAGTATGTTTGTATATGGAGTATGCTGATTCTGAAAATGTATGTTTTATGTGAATGTCATGTATATTTTGGACGTTATTAATATTTTGTAAAAACTATATTTTCTGCCTGTGATAATTAAGTTAGTCTATTGTGTTGCGATAATTGTATTATAGGCAGAGGGGAGGATTTTGTGTGTAATTGCTGGGAGTGTCTGAGTGTATTGTATGTATTGATTGGTTGTTTTGCAAAACCCTGTGGGCAGTACTACGTGTGCAAAATGTGCATAAAAGCAGAGTGTCTGATTAAAAGCTTCAGTTCTACTTCACCCTCAATTTGGAGTGCCGTCTCTTACTGGGGGAATCTGCTACCAGGGATTGCTATGCTCTGCATACTCTCTTGCTATATTCACTGCTAAGCTCTTGTAAGAGCTTGTTCCTGTTTTGCTCTCTTAAGGAGTCTACAGTGGTTATGGTGTCTGCTGGAGTGCTGGAAACCCTCAGGAAGCGCTAGGAGCATCCTTCAACGGAGGTACCCAGTCGCGGTGCCAGGTGATCCGTTACATTACTTTTATGTTATTCTTTGGTTGTTTTATGGTGTGACAGGTAGCACTTGGAAGTAAGACAGCAGCTAAATAATAATATTTTTTTTTACAACATTAACAATAATGTTTTTTTAAGCACCAGTTTTATAATATTTTTTGCACGTAAGGTGCACTGTGCCTTTAAAAAAAACTCACACTATGTTTGTGACTTGTTTCAAAAGTACACACTGTCACACTGATATTCAAATCTCCCGGTATTTTAGAATATTCCATCACCAGCCATAATAAAATGAGAGAAAGAAATACAACATATACAGGGAGTGCAGAATTATTAGGCAAATGAGTATTTTGACCACATCATCCTCTTTATGCATGTTGTCTTACTCCAAGCTGTATAGGCTCGAAAGCCTACTACCAATTAAGCATATTAGGTGATGTGCATCTCTGTAATGAGAAGGGGTGTGGTCTAATGACATCAACACCCTATATCGGGTGTGCATAATTATTAGGCAACTTCCTTTCCTTTGGCAAAAATGGGTCAAAAGAAGGACTTGACAGGCTCAGAAAAGTCAAAAATAGTGAGATATCTTGCAGAGGGATGCAGCACTCTTAAAATTGCAAAGCTTCTGAAGCGTGATCATCGAACAATCAAGCGTTTCATTCAAATAGTCAACAGGGTCGCAAGAAGCGTGTGGAAAAACCAAGGCGCAAAATAACTGCCCATGAACTGAGAAAAGTCAAGCGTGCAGCTGCCACGATGCCACTTGCCACCAGTTTGGCCATATTTCAGAGCTGCAACATCACTGGAGTGCCCAAAAGCACAAGGTGTGCAATACTCAGAGACATGGCCAAGGTAAGAAAGGCTGAAAGACGACCACCACTGAACAAGACACACAAGCTGAAACGTCAAGACTGGGCCAAGAAATATCTCAAGACTGATTTTTCTAAGGTTTTATGGACTGATGAAATGAGAGTGAGTCTTGATGGGCCAGATGGATGGGCCCGTGGCTGGATTGGTAAAGGGCAGAGAGCTCCAGTCCGACTCAGACGCCAGCAAGGTGGAGGTGGAGTACTGGTTTGGGCTGGTATCATCAAAGATGAGCTTGTGGGGCCTTTTCGGGTTGAGGATGGAGTCAAGCTCAACTCCCAGTCCTACTGCCAGTTCCTGGAAGACACCTTCTTCAAGCAGTGGTACAGGAAGAAGTCTGCATCCTTCAAGAAAAACATGATTTTCATGCAGGACAATGCTCCATCACACGCGTCCAAGTACTCCACAGCGTGGCTGGCAAGAAAGGGTATAAAAGAAGAAAATCTAATGACATGGCCTCCTTGTTCACCTGATCTGAACCCCATTGAGAACCTGTGGTCCATCATCAAATGTGAGATTTACAAGGAGGGAAAACAGTACACCTCTCTGAACAGTGTCTGGGAGGCTGTGGTTGCTGCTGCACGCAATGTTGATGGTGAACAGATCAAAACACTGACAGAATCCATGGATAGCAGGCTTTTGAGTGTCCTTGCAAAGAAAGGTGGCTATATTGGTCACTGATTTGTTTTTGTTTTGTTTTTGAATGTCAGAAATGTATATTTGTGAATGTTGAGATGTTATATTGGTTTCACTGGTAATAATAAATAATTGAAATGGGTATATATTTGTTTTTTGTTAAGTTGCCTAATAATTATGCACAGTAATAGTCACCTGCACACACAGATATCCCCCTAACATAGCTAAACTAAAAACAAACTAAAAACTACTTCCAAAAATATTCAGCTTTGATATTAATGAGTTTTTTGGGTTCATTGAGAACATGGTTGTTGTTCAATAATAAAATTAATCCTCAAAAATACAACTTGCCTAATAATTCTGCACTCCCTGTAGTGTGAATCTACTTATATATAAAATAAGAGGACAAATGCTAATACAACAGGCAATGCCCAGGACAGACAGCAAAAATGACAGAATTCAGTAGAAAATCCTCTTTATTTTGTAAAATCAGCAATACAAATGTAAATCACCCTTCTTGGCTAAGTACAGCAAAACTACACCACAACAAAAAATAATCTATCTTCACACATAGAGGGTTCATTGCAGAATGTACACTCTTAGTGAGGAATGCCCTTTCATAAACTATTTTTCCATGCTTTGCAATATCAGTAATAGCGTGAGAAAAATTCC